TGAATGATGTCCTCTGGAGATTATTCCTATGTCTAAATCTGTGGCAAGTATAATATGGAAGTCTCAGTAGACCAAAGTAGGGATGGTAACATCAATCCTTAAGCATATAACCACTCATCCTGAACAGGGGAAGTCCCCTTACATCCAAGTCCCTTCTGAGGATGACATTGCAGATCCTGGCTGATCTTTCTACAAACTGGAATTCTTCTTTTGAAGTATCCTCTTCAACAAATTATCTGAGAGTGCCCATTAATTAATGATGAAAACATTTACAAGAACCAACCATAGTTTACCAAGGAAACAGAGCTGGATAATTATACTGCACAATCTCTCAAAGCTACTGAATCTAAAAAGAGGAAGAACACAAGTGGAGAATTATGTATTTGTCTCAAAATTAGATCATCAGTGACTGAATTGAAAATCTATATAGTCATTTGCTATGGTTATAAATTTCCAATTTAGATTTTGCCATGTTATAGTTGTAAATATTTACTTTCCTCTTAAGCTCTTACAAAACAAGTGAAAGAAAAAGGCATGATTAGAAATGTATGTAGCATTTTTAATAAACAACTGCTAAAGGCCCTGGTGATACTAGCTGGAGACTTTAATGCCAGGATTGGTACAAATGATTATGTGCTTTATGAACAGTGTAAATCTTACCTTGTTTTAAATTCAGAGAGAGAAGTAAGTCCTCTCTCTTATATGTAACTGCAGAAACAGAGGAGTTAACTTTGCAGAATAGTGCCTGACTCAATCGATTAATATCTTAAATTTGTTAATCTTGAATGGTACCTGGGAGAATAATATATCTGGATAGTATGCTTTCTGGGAGTGAGTTTCCCATGAAATGATAAATATGATCTTTAATTTCAGAATTGGTTTAGTGATCACTTGACTTTAAATTTACGTTTGGTATCAAATGGACATATTATATATACTTAAAAACCTTATTGCACTGAATTGTCCTCAAGTCCGGAAACACATTTGTGTAAAATGGACTGAGAAGGTGGAAAGAACATGGAAATCTATATATAAATCTGGCAATGGAGACAGTTTGTACAATTCTTTAATTAAAGTTTCCCAAAAGGATTCTTAACATAGTTTGTACTATTATTACATATATTGATTTGCAAAATTAAATGAGCTCTAGCAAAAGATTATCCAGCTATGGTTTGATGAGGAATGTGCAAAAGGAAAGGACTCTTTAATTGAAAATTTGCAATTAATATTAGAATAATGACTGCCCATTATTCATGAGCAAAAGAAGAGAAAAGAATACAAAGCTTTGCTAAAAAAAAGGGGATATGAAAGGTGTTAGGTAAAAATCACAGCTCCCATCTCTGCCTCCACATTGTAATCTCAAGAGACACAGATGGACTTGCCAGATTGACAATCTGTTATCTCAGTCGAAGCTATTAAGCTAATATCACAGTTGAAGAAGGGAAAACCTCAGGAAGTAGCAGCATCCCATCTGAGCTGTGAAACTCAAATCTTCACTAGGTGACACCCATTTTGGTGGTCATGGTGATAACCTTCATGCTGAAAAATTCCACCAAATACAATAATTTTATTATTGTTCCCATATTTAAAAAAGGAGACAGGTCCAATTCTTCCAGCTGTCTTCTAATTGGCTCTTAAGTATTATAAATAAGCTGCTAGATACTTGTTTTGGAATCCAGTGGACTGGAAAGAGCAGGAAAGCACAATTGCTGAGGAGCAGGTCTGGTTTAGGATAGAGACATAAACTAGGTTTTGTGACATTGCACTGAAAAATATCTATCAGTTCCCAAAGAAGCCCATTATGACATTCATTCACTTTGAAAGAGCTTTTGACTCTGTTTATACATATATTTCTAATTTGTGCTTCTGTCCCAGCCGGTGCCCTCTGGAACAGCATCCCTTGGAAATATCTATGCTTCCCATCCTTCAGATGTTCTAGTTGTTTGTGGAGACCCTGCCAACCCCTCCCCAAATGTTATTTACATGGTTTTGTCTGGGAAACTATGCCACTTTTTAAATTAGGCATTCTTTTAAATATTCTAAGCTGCCTAGGATCTTTTTAGAGATGGCATCTTCAAAATCCATCAAGCAAACAAAGCAATTCAGGAACAAACTAGAGATATTACCTTTGATAGACAGTTGTTAGCACTACTTAAAACATTGCATGAAAATTCATTCACTGTTTGCCATCAAGATAATGTTGACTCTATAAACAACCAGAGAGAATGACCTTCCCCAGAAAGAACTTTCTCTGGTTTGGACCTCCATCAATTTTAATATAAATTGAAACAGTTATGGGCACAGATGGTTTGATGCCTATCTATAGTTCTGTACAGGGAAATATAGAAAAAGAAATATGAACTAATTACTATGATATCACACTGGGAAGAATTTATGTTAACATGTTTATGACAGAGATATTGGGAGAATGATGAAAGACCTGGCAAGATCTTGATTAACCGTTTAAAATAAAAGAAAGGCAGGGCAATGATTCCAATCATTAAAGGTGAAAGATGAAATCTATAAAACCGCAATGGATATAAATGGTCAATTTTTAAAATTTTATTCAGAATTATATAGTGAACCAGAGAATGTATCGAATGAAGAGACAGAAGGGTTTTAAAATAAAATTAACCTACCATATTTAAACTAGTTGGTTTTGGTGTTGATAGTAATATTAATTTATGTTTTCTAACTGCTTATAATAGGTTTTTGATTTTAAAATTATGTTAGCCTCCGCAGAGAAAAACAATTAAAAATAAAATAATATTTTGCTCATAATTGTCTTTTAATGACTGTGAGATAGGATATATTAGTAAGCTGCCTATGTATTTAAATACACAATTGCCTACAGCTTATGATAACAGCCAATTTGGTACAGTGGTTAAGGCATTAGGCCAGAAACCAAGAGACTATGATGCCAACTAGGTTACCTTTGGCCTATATTCTAACTTATCTCTATGAAGAAGGTAATGGCAAAACACTTCTGAAATCTTGCCAAGAAAACTGCAGAGACTTGTCCAGTAGTCAACACTGATTCAAAGGCACACACATACTCATACAAAAAAAAAGGGTGTCTTGGAAACCATGATCAACACAAAAGCAGCAGCTGTCAGGAGTGTGGGACTGGTGCTTTCTAGTGACAGCATCTCAATTGTGAATTGTTTTCCATGGAGATTACCTTAGCCCCATGTTTTAATTATAATCCACCTAAATTGAACTATGTTAAGGCTTTATTTTTGCAAACCACTGGGGATGGGTATTCATTATTTATTTATCATTGCCATTTATATGATCACCCTCTCCCCAAGGTGACGCTGAGTAGCAAACCCAGTTAAAACATTTATATAATGATAGAAGATTGAAATATGCGCATTAACATAACACAAACAAAAAAAAGCAAATGAAAATAGCAACTGAGGACAAACTCATCTGTAAAAATATAATGCTGCCCAGGCTCAACTAACCTCTCCACCTCCACGACTGGGAGAATGGTCAGATCCTGAAGGCGCCTTCAAAAAAGCCCATAGAGCAGGTTCACTTGGCTGAAATGCATGAAATTTCTGGCAAATCTGTAATGTGCAAGTAATCCAGAGCTTCTTGTGATCACTTTCTGTCTTGTTTTGGTCCTGTCCTCTTCTCTAAGCATTGCCCTATTTTGAATGGAGTTGCAGTCTATTCTTTTCTAATGTATATGTTTTCTCCAAGAACCTGCCTCCCACCTATTCATTCCCTTTAGTAGTACTTTTATTTAAAAGTCTTTTCTTTAAATCACTATAGTTTGCCAGCAATTGTGGCTTATGAATAGCTTATGATGAATGCTTGACTCTCTCAAGCCTATTTTTATTCAGTAATACTAGAAGGACATTTGATCACTTATCCCAGTAAAACTGGCATGACCTCTTCACCATTGTCTTGCTTTGGGGAAATTCCCTTTTTGCACTTTGACCTTCACTTTGCAAAGTGACTCTCAGCAAACTCTATTGCAAAGGTGACCTTTGGCTCTTATTATTTAGAACTGCTACTACAACATCATTTTGTCTTTTGGTATCAAAGTGTTGGGTAGAAATAGGAAAGGAAAGTAGATACGAGAATAGCAGCCGAGTCTTATCAGCTGCTTTAATTTGTATAGCAGAAACAGCAATGCACTACTACAAGGTCATCTTTCATGATTATGTGACTCCAGACTCATGTTTAAATGACTTTTAGGCCCCTAAGTATTGCTTAGAAAATGTACCGGCATGCCTTTAGTGTTTTGGTCTAGTCCTTGGTACAGAAAGGCAATATATACATCTAATAAAGGAAGAAATAATCTTCATATGTTTACCCACAACTGACAGCTCTTTCATTCACATTGCTACTGCACATATCAGGATAAAATTGGGTTTGGGAAGAAATAAAGATAAGGAGGGATAGCTTAGAAAACAGCTTTCTAATTCAATCCCAGAGATGGATGAAAAGCAGGAACCAATCACCCACTGACATCAGTATAATTCAACTTTCTCAACCTGGCGCCCTGCAGAGGTGTGGAGTTTCAGAATCCCCAAATCCATTGATGAGAATCTAGGAGTTCAAGTTCATACATTTGGATGACACCAAGCTTGGAGAATACTAAAATAATATATGGCTCGTATGGCAAAGTAGTTAAGGGTATATAGGATTAAAGCTTAACTATCTCAAAAATGTCCTGGAACGTCTCAGGAACTGATTGCAGAATGCCAATTTATGTAAATGCCTCTGGCAGAAGTGGTGATCCCTTAGATCTTTTGACTTTAGCCAATCAGCGTAACCATGATGATCATTTTTCTGACTGTCTCTTAAGCACAGGAGCTCTCCCTTCCCTGCCCTTAAACCACCTCTTTAGCAGCAGAAGAACAGATACAAATTCCTTTGAGTGCTTAATGAGCCTTTCTTGGTGAATTTGATGTAATTGCAAATTTGGGGAAGGTGGGGGAGGAGCAGGAATAAAATGAAAATGCTTTCATTTGTTCTTTTTTAAGGATAAGGCAAGAATGGGATATTATGCTAGACTGCAGAAGAAAAGGCATTCCACAGGCTGCATATTTGAGTAATGGTTTCATCGATACTAACAGCATTTTGGATAAACTTGAAAAGAACTCACCACTGATTAAGAAGATTGCCTTGCTGAATGACAAAGAAAGAAGCAAATTTATTTTTCAACTTTCAGGCGAACATTGGACAGTAAGTATACCGTATTATTTGAATAATTGTTTGCTTATTCTTTGCTTGAGACCATTGAAATGGACAGATTTAAATTTGTCTGAACCTTGCTAGTTATTAATTTTGTCTCTTTTCCCTTTCTTTCTTTGTGTAAATGACAAAGCGTATATTTTATTTTAGTATGTGGGTGCACCAACTCCTTAATATTTTCCATTTTATGTTTAGCAACCCAGCAGCCATTGCAATATGATTTCTTCTCATTGATTGTGATATTGATATTGACTTTGATATCAGAGGTCAATGCCATGGCTTCTTCTTGCACCAGAAGAACTGACATTCCTAGAAACTGAATTACAATAATAATAATAATAATAATAATAATAATAATAATAATAATAATAATAATAATAATAATAATAATAATAATAATAATAATAGTAAAGTTGGAAGGAACCTTGAAGGTCATCTAGTCCAACCCCCTGCTCAGGCAGGAAACCCTATACCATTTCGGACAAATGGCTGTCCGGACATATTGTTATTTCCCACAATTGCTTGGTAACAGTAAAAGTGGCTGTGCGGCAATGGATCCTTTGTTGCTAAAAGTAATGTATGTGACATTTCATACATTTGACATGCCATCAGGGTCCTAGCAACTGATAGTACCTTCTCTACCCCATATAAATATATATATTGGTTTTTTTTGTCAAGCAACCTAAACAGAGCCATCTCTTGGAGTGTTTACAACATGGCATCCTTCAGGATGGGTGGGAGGCATTATGGGATGTTAAACTTTATCCCTGATAAGTTTATTTATTTATTTATTTATTAAATTTATATACCGCCCTATCTCCCTTACGGGACTCAGGGCGGTGAACAGGCGATAATAAAAACCATGATAAATATACGCAGATTTCTGTTCTAAAATCAAATTAAATAACAGGCCTGCTCTAAAAATACCCCATACAAAAACCCCACTAAAACATAATCAAACTACGCCAGGCCGGCCGCACGGAATAGATGGGCCTTCNGGTCGGAGGGTAGGTCCAATCAAGTTGTCTTGATTTGCTCTTCATTGGGCGTCATGTTCCATGAAGTTTGGACATTGTACAAATTTGTGAATAGTTACCTCATTGACAGTGGAGAGCAACTGATTGGCTTCCTATAGGCATCTATGGACTGAAGATTATAGAAGAATATGGGGGGACTAAAAAGCAGAGACAAAAGAAAGTTCTGTATGTTTGAAATTCTATCACAAATTAACCACAGTTCAAGGTTTGTATGCCAAGAGCTAAAATAATTGATTGATCGATAGGTCTAAACTCTGATAAATTATATTTATTTCTATGGTAATAAGCAAGAATCTGGAAAGATGTTTAAAATAATGTTTGTATAACTTTCCCTTCCGCTTCCGCTTCCGCTTCCCTTCCTTTCCCTTCCCTTCCCTTCCCTTCCCTTATTTACATTACAAATGTTAAAAGTTTGTTGCTTTGTTTTGTTTTGTTTTAATACTCTGAGGAATATTATATCTACAAAGCCATTTCAATTAATGTTATCTAATTAGTTGAAAAAAAAAAAGACATAGGCACACCCACCAACAAGGGGTTAGTTTCAATTTTGGGGATGTAGCACAAACTGATATTGTAAGAGCACACGAGCATATCTTTTAGCTTTGCTCCCTTAATTTCTTTTCAGAGATTATTGTTAATGTAAATATTTATCAAGTTAAAGTGAAAGTCTTAGCTGAATAGATCTGGATATAGTAATTTATGCTGAAATATCCCAAGAGTAAAAGACGGGAGCATATTCATGCACTAAAAATACCTTGCAGTTAGAATTTTCTATAGAAATATAATCAATTCTGTAAGGTGAAAGCAATCTTATAATTCTGTCTTTCAATTTGTCAGGATAAATTGCTCAGGATAGTTCACTAATAAGTTGCGATTTCTCAAAATGTGGTGAATTTCCTTGTTAAAAATGGAAGTGTCTAGAAGAGTCAATTATGCAAAACAAAAGACATCTTTAATTTGATTTTAAATTTCTTTTAAAATGAAGATCTACGATCCATATTGGATTGGAGGGGCAATATTTGTCTAGAACTATTTTTCTTGAAATAAACTCCCACTCCCAGCTACTACATGCCCATTTAAGAAAAATATGTGTTTATTTGTTTGCTTTTGTTATGTGAGATCTGTGCTGGAGAAAATCCTGCACCCAAAATCCTTAATCCTTTCTCTTTTTTTTACTGGTCATGTTGATTCTTCTTAAAGGAAGGGATGGGATGGCTCTCCTATGACAGATCTCCAATATCTCTAATTGTCTTCTAATTTTCCTTTTGAATAATTGCACTGAAAATTCATAACAGTAATTCATCTGTCATATATTATTCAAAAGCAAATTTAAGATATATTGCAGATGTTGGAGACCTGAGACTGGAGAGTTCTCCATCTCTATGTTCCTTTATGAAGAAACTAATCTTCGACTTATAATCACAATTGAGCCCAAAATTGCTGTTGCTAAGTGAGACATTAGTTAAGTGAGTTTTACTACATTTTATGACTTTTCTTGCCATGGTTAGTAAGTGATTCTCGCTTCCCCATTGACTTTGCTTGTCAGAAGGTTGCAAAAGGGGATTACATGACCCCAAGACACTGTAACCATCATAAATATGAGTCAGTTGCCAAGTGTCTGAATTTTGACCACATGGCCAGGGGGATGCTGAAATGGTATGAAAAATGGTCATAAGGCACTTTTTTCAGTGCCGTTGTAATTTTGAATGGTCACTAAATGAACTGTTGTAAGTTGAGGGCTTCCTGTATGTTAAAAGGAAAAGCAATGCTTCACACACTGAAATGTCATTCATAGCCAATGAGCGTGGTTTAATTCAAATGGCTTTGTGAAGGAGAGGAAGGTAGAAATGTTGCTGTTGCGAAAGATTCCTTACTGTCCCAAATCTTCTTTTCTTAGGAATTACCTGATTGGCTGAAAGAGAAAACATACCTAAAAGAATGGCACGTAAACAATACTAAGATCTCAAGCATTCCAAGTTACATTGCCTTGTTTCAGGAAATGAAAATTCTTGAATTATCCAGTAATCAGATTACAGACCTCCCCGTTGAAATTGGTAAGTGTCCTTTTTTCTTAGACATTTATATCTGTTCATTTCATCACAACCAATAAGAATTTTTTTTTTTAAAAAAAAGTAACTTGGGGATTACATTTTATAAACGCATGTTTTCACATATGATAATGTGAAATCACAATCTTCACAATCCTGGCATCGTACACATGTGGAAGCTACAACTCCTAGAATTTCTGACCCCCCCAGGGTTTTTCTATAGGTATCAATCTGGGGGAAAAAAAACTGAATGGGAGGATTGTAATTCACAAGACGGGAACAAGGTCGATGTTTTTGCATTACAGCTATGTACTCTTTTATAATTGATCCATCAGGGCCACCTGCCAGATCCATTTCCTGAAATGATAGATTCTTCAGGTTTCTTCTGAAACAGATATGGGACTCTTCTTTATGGCTAAATTAAAGTGCCAACTATCTGTGACTAAGCTGGCAGAAAACTATACTGGTGTAACAATTGATGAGTTGACCCGTATCCTGCCCAGGCATGATGCTGGAAAATGCAGCTCTTATTTACGGTGGACAGGGCACATTAAGAAAAGTAATTGTTAGATTATCCCAGCTTTCTTTTCTTCCTTCCCACCAATTCTCACCTGATGACAGGAAAATATCCACCAACAGAGAACCAGAGAGGTTGCTTTGAAGCCAATATTCAGAAACCATTATGAAACCAATCAAGAGAGAAGCATTCCTTAAGTCCCGTGAAAGAAGACAGTATTTATTTATTATCCCAACTTTTAAAATATATAACTCAAGGTGGCAAACATACCTCCTATTTGCCCTACAACAACTCTGTGAGGTAGGTTGGGCTGAGAAAGAATGACTGTCCCCAAAATCACTTAGATGGCTTTCGTGTTTAAGGCAGACCTAGAACTCAGAGTGTCCTGGTTTCTAGGCAGTGGTGGGATTCGAATACGTGAACAACTGGTTCTCTGTGTGAATGCTGCTTCCAGAAGTCTGATTTGGGCCTGGGCAACAAAAAAATAGCTACTGGTTCTGCTGAAGTGGTGTGAACTGGCTGAATCCCACCACTGTTTCTTAGCCAGTACCTTAACCACTACATCAAATTGGTTTTCTTCTTATTTCTTATTTCTTATTTCTTGTTTCTTATTTCTTCTCTCTCTCTCTCTCTCTCTCTCTCTCTCTCTCTCTCTCTCTCTCACACACACACACACACACACACATCATCATCATCATCATCATCATCATCATCATCACCAAACTTAAATCTCTTAGAATTCTTAGTTTAAGAAGAGACTCAGGTTAGCCCTTCGAGATTCATTGGGTTAGAAGAGGGAGAAGTAGAAAAGGATTTGATTTTGGGGGGGGTACCTTAGGGGACTCACCTTCCCCTTAAAGTATGCTATACATATAGGCAGTCCTCGACTTACAACCATTTGTTTGATGACAGTTCAAAGTTACAGTGGCACTAAAAAAGTGACTTATGACCAGTTCTGAAACTTACAACCGTTGCAGCATCCCCAGAGTCACATGATCGAACTTTGGGTGCTTAGCAGCTGGCATGTATTTACAATGGATGCAGCATCCCTGGGGATTGTCATTTGTAACCTTCCTTAGGGTGCTTCTGACAAACAAAGTCAATGGGGAAAGTCAGATTCACGTGATCCACTTAACTGTAGTGATTTGCTTAACAACCATGGCTGAAACAGTCATAAAATGGGGTAAAACTCACTTAACAGCTGCCTTGCTTAGCAACAAAAGTTTTGGGCTCAATTGTGGTCATCAGTTGAAGATCACCTGTAGTTTATTTTATTTATTTATTATTTTAATTTATATGCCGCCCTTCTCCCGACGGGACTCAGGGCGGCGCACAACATATTTAAAACAAAACATAAATACATTCCCCCCCCGATAAAACCAAATTAGATCAAATTTTAAAGTTGTGTCTCTATCGAATTGCTAAAAAATAAACCCCATATAAAATCCTCCCTAGGTCAGGTCCGATTGCTGGAAAAGCCATGTCTTGAGGGCGCGACGGAAAGCAGGGAGGTCCGGGATCATCCGGATCTCGGGGGGTAGTTCGTTCCAGAGGGTAGGGGCACCCACAGAGAAGGCCCTCCCCCTGGGGGTCGCCAGCCGACATTGCTTGGCCGACGGCACCCTGAGGAGGCCCACTCTGTGGGAGCGTACCGGTCTGAGGGAGGGGATCTGCGGCAGAAGGCGGTCTCGGAGATAACCGGGTCCTATGCNCCCCCCCTCCCCCCCTCCCTCCCTCCCTCCCTCTCTCTCTCTCTCTCTCTCTCTCTCTCTCTCTCTCACACACACACACACACACACACACACACATATCATCATCATCATCATCATCATCATCATCATCATCATCATCATCATCATCATCACCAAACTTAAATCTCTTAGAATTCTTAGTTTAAGAAGAGACTCAGGTTAGCCCTTCCAGATTCATTGGGTTAGAAGAGGGAGAAGTGGAAAAGGATTTGATTTTTTTTTGGGGGGGGGCTACCTTCCCCTTAAAGTATGCTATACATATAGGCATTCCTTGACTTACAACCATTTGTTTAATGACAGTTCAAAGTTACAGTGGCACTAAAAAAGTGACTTATGACCAGTTCTCAAACTTACAACCGTTGGAGCATCCCCAGAGATACATGATCGAACTTTGGGTGCTTAGCAGCCGGCATGTATTTACAATGGATGCAGCATCCCTGGGGATTGTCATTTGTAACCTTCCTTAGGGTGCTTCTGACAAACAAAGTCAATGGGGAAAGTCAGATTCACGTGATCCACTTAACTGTAGTGATTTGCTTAACAACCATGGCTGAAACAGTCATAAAATGGAGTAAAACTCACTTAACAGCTGCCTTGCTTAGGAACAAAAGTTTTGGGCTCAATTGTGGTCATCAGTTGAAGATCACCTGTAGTTGAGGGAGGAAGCGAGTTTAATGAATCCCTAGAGACCAATAGCTAGATCAATCAAAACTTATATTGGTTTTTGGGAAGGGTGCAGCCACTGCTGCTCGTGCTGATCTATATCTCTGAGCCAGGGATTGACTTAGAGACTGGAATTCTAGGGGAGAACCCAGTTTGAAAGAATGAGACGTTCTCACATTGTGAAGCGGAATAGCTCTTGAGAAGAGTATCAATGGCTGAGATAATCTCATCCCCGAGGATCACTTGATTCTGAAACACATCAGATACAGATTCAGTAGTTCTGCCACAGTATGTCACTTGCTTAAAAGGGAAACTCTATTTTAGCATTAAACAGATACAGTGTGGACAACTTAAAACCACCTCATAGGTGGGCTGGGGATGAGAGCAAAGCAACGTCATGAGAACATGGCAGAAAAGTGAGGTTGCTATTGGCATATTCTTCCTGTGATTTGTGCAAGAGGGCGAATACCCAAAATTATACTAGTTAAAGTGGGATATATAGTTGAGAAGTCAGTGAGAGAAGCACTTCCCTCTGTGACATGCACTTTCAAGAACTACCAGTTCTTGAACATATTTGCATGGGGAGATATAGGATATAGGAATAAAGGACTCTATCAAATCAAGAGCATTAATCTATAGCAAGTAGGAATCAGGAGATGCTATCATGATTTAAAAACCCAAAATATAGGTGAGTAAAACATCTCTCTTTCTGAATGAACATGCATGCACGCTCGCGCGTGCGTGCACACATACATACATTTTGAAACATTTTAGGACATTTTATCTCTTTCCTTTTTTAAAAAAAGGTACAAGAGTGGCAAACTGAAATAAAACTGTACCCTTTTTTGTACTTTGGGGGGACTTTTTGAATAATCCCTGAGATCTCTAAGGATCTTTTTTTTTCAATTTCTGGTTATTGGTTTTAAAGTCTGCTGCCAGTTTTGATCCTCAACTTTTAAAACAATAAAGGTGGAAATAATTTGTTTATGTCCATTTTATTTTATAAAGATAATTGCCAACAAGCATCCATGTCTTGTGAGCAGACTAGAAGCAAAACACATTAGAATAACTTTAATGAGTAAAAAGCATGACTTTATGAGTATGAAGCAAAAATTGAGTTCCTCTCTTATTTGTATTTTTTAATCTTGGAGCTGAAACAAAATAGACTTAATTGATTTATGTGTTCCACAAGGTGGCAGTGGAGAATAAGATAAAAATGCAATCATTCACCAAATTAGATTCTATCTCAAGTGGTCTTTCTCCTTCTCTTTAAAAGTCATACATATGATAGAAATTCATGTGAGTGATTTGCCATATAAAGATGGGTAGTTCTATAAAAACGTTTCCCTTGAAGAGTTTCTGAAAAACTGATAGTGGAGTTTATAAAAATTACTACAATGAACTACATTATTCCCAAATCAAATTGGTGCATTTGCTAGAGAAGCGGAATGACTTAAAGTTCTGCCAGCCTTTTCAAAATCCCCTTCCTTCACATTAAATGGAAACATTTTATGTGATGTAAAGTCAATGCCCCAAGGGTGGGCAAGGTTCAAGTAATATAATTTATTTTAGATAAAAAGGGCCATATCAATCTGGAACAGCCCTTACATGTCATACATAAAGCTACTGAGCAACTGTGAAAGTTTAATTCTTGGAGGTTAAAATAGTGTTTGTTCCAAAGGTCTAATCTGCACATCACATTAAGTCAAAACCAAAACTTTTGCAGTAATGCTAAGACATAATGGATGTGGTCATACATCAGACTAAATCCAAGACAAACCAGCCACATAATTGCTTAGTGCTCTGTGAAAATCAATAAAAAGGAAGAATAAAACAGATTTTCCGAGCTCTTAAAAAAAATGAACAAAAATACAGAAGAAGAAAAGTAGTTTCTTGCAGAATCATGAGGGAAACTTTTAAAAAGAGAACAATGAATCTTTTGGAAAATGCACAGCATGGGAGCAGCCAGGAAAATCAAGTTCCCATTTGTTGTTGTTTATATGCAATTGTTTTGATGATTAGACATTTTACTTTGAGATCCAGAGATAAGTTACCAGCAAAATTGGCTGCTAGAT